ACCTAAAGGTTTTAGAGATAAAGGCAGCCTTTTTCATTTTTTTAAAATGAAAAATAAAATATTTTCACTCAGACATGACAGGCTCTCCCTGCTGCTGCAGGGTTTGGGGAGGGAATGTGGGAACGTCCAGCAGGTCCTGACACCTCATTTTTCCTTAATTGAAGATTCTGAAATGGCAAAGGAAAAGTATCCAGAAACTTTAGAAGCTGAGAAAAACTACCCAAATACTGGTTGCTGAGGCTCTTGCCTGTATTTTGGGCAGTGAAAGAAGAGCTGGGGTTGGAAGGGCCTCTGGAGATCAACCAAAAAAATATCCTGGTCTGGCACAGTCACCTCACCTCAGAATATTTGGGGTTTGGGAGGTGAAACCTAATTTGTGTCCCTGAAGGGATGGATGGAGTTTTCTCCAGGTTTGAGTTTAAAGGAAACAGAACTATGAGTGTTTGTGAAAAACACGTTCACTCTCTTGTGAAAATTTTAAAAGTTTAATAAAGGACAATAGGAGACGGACCATAAAGCAACGGTTATTACGGCCGGGTGCATCTTGGCACTCAGCCAAGACCACAGTGTCACCTTCAGGGAAACCCCTAAGTACCTTTTCCTTTACATCACCCCTTTGCATGTTCATAGACTCTTACGTATATCCATAAATTAGTTTACATTTTCCAGGAACTATTTTACATGACCCCTCCTTTGGTCCACCTTTTTCAAGCATACGTGTTTCCTGGCTGTGGTTTTGACTCCTTCTTCTATTTGTTTGGGCCTTGGTCCATGCTTTCTTCAGATGGTGAGTGCTGATATTTGGCATATCTTTAGCAGGTGTCCTCATCCTGTGTTTATTGGATGTTATTCCATCCAAGCAGGCATTTTAACACAAGCATAGCTATTTCACTACTGTTGCTAAGCTTAATTGATAGTAGAAATACAAACAATATCTTTATAACAATATATCACACATATAAAATCCATTTTAATATTTGCAAAAAGCTAATATTACAATATGTATCTATAACAGTGTTGCACTGCTCTCAGCTGATTTTTGTTCTCTCAGCCCTGTGGGATGTGGCAGAACAGGTGAGGTTCCTCCCTGCCCACCTCTCCCTCAGCCCACCTGCTGAGTCCTTCTGAAAGGCTGCCAAGGGAGCAACCTACTTCGCTCTCCTCATCCATCCAAGAACTCTTCCGTCATGGAAGGCAATTAGATTGGTTCTGTGATGTAATTTTATGGAGTCCAGTGGGGAACCTTCTCCCTGCCTTCCTCCTGGTTTATCTCATGTGCCTCTTCCTGCTTTATTCTCTATTGCTCTGTCCTGCTCCCCGTGCTGTGAGTGTCAGGTGGGGGGCTGGGGAAGTTGGCAGGAGACAAAGACCACTCACCCCAGAAGTGGCTGCCAGAACTCAGGCTAGCTCTTAGAATTCCAGTGCCACGCCAGGAGTGGGGAACTGCCTTGGTATGGGAATTTAGCAGAGGCAGAACCTTTATAGCCACTTGCTCTAAAGTGCCAGACACAAGCCACGACAGGGAGCAGGCAGAAGAGAAAGGAGGAGGCTCTCCATATTGAGGTTCCACAAGGAACAGTTTATTCCTGATGAAAGGAGCAAGACAAAGAGCCCCTAGCTCCATTGTGCCAGGGGTTTTGTACAGATACAAGTCAGGGGGAGGATACAAACAGCTAACCAACAGGGAATCCCCACGGGATGAGTGAGGGGATTATGTGGAGTGTCCCGGGCCAACCGGGGTACAAGGGTGGAGAGCATGGGTCACATGGGTTGCATGAGCCAATGGGGCTTGGAGGAGTAGGGGAATTCCAAAGGGGTGTTGCAGGACAGGGATTGGCCTGAGGTTTAAGTGGCAGGGGAGGTTCGGGAATTAAGGGCTGGGTTGCCTTGACAGGCAGCGAAAGAGCTGGAACAAGGGGTGGGGAATGGCATGAGGGACAGCTTTGAGAGAGGATAAAATCCAGGGGTAAACCAACTTGGGGAGAACATGGGGGTAAAACAGAACAAACCACTTAACAAGGAATCAATAAAATAAATTCAAACTGCAACAACCCCAATGTTCTTGTGGCAACAGAGAGCTTTTATTTCCCAAGCCCTTGCTTATATAGGGCATTTGAAAAATCCCATTTGGATACTTTCATAGGTCAGAACTCTACTCCCCTTCAGGTCCTGGCCAAGGAAACGCCTGCCACCTTGGGAGAGATGTGACTGGGCGAGGCCCCCGTCAGTCAAACCAGGGGCTGGTTGGTTTGTCTATCACAAACCAACTAAAATATGGTGACGCTGTGCCATCATTCATCCCTGTGCCATATCTCCTCTCCGTATCCCTCTGTCCTGCTGCCTGTGCTATCATTCCTCCCTGTAACTAGCAGAACTTTCTTTCCCCCAGTTGTCTGTATGCCATAATCACTTGCGAGTTGCGCCTGCTTTCACAGAATCAGAAAATCAGTTTGATTGGAAGGGGCCAGTGGATCATCTGGTTCAACCTTCCTGCTCAGGCAGGATCATCCGGGGCACATGGCACAGGATTGTGTCCAGACCTACAGTGCCCTGTAGATCCAGATGAGGTTCAGTGTACACAAACCATGTGATGGAAGTTCCTACTGAGGTGCCATCACCATATACCAACTCATTGGCAGTGATGTCATGGAAAGGAGAACACAGAGTCGATAATTTGGTTACCAAATTCTCACAATATGAAGAAAGTATCTTTTTCCCCCTATGGGCTTGCATCTTGTCTGTGGAAAAGACCTCCAGCAACTGAAAGAAGTGCCCTATGCTCCACTAGCATAGACTGGACTCTATAGGGGGCAAGTGCCCCCTGCTCAAGAGAGAGGGGCACACCACAAGGTAACCTGTGGTTTTACTTGCCTGACCATGGTGAAGACATATGGAAGTGGGATGTAAAACCCACCTCTGCCTTGGCAGCACAGGTATGTGAGTTGAGAGGAAAAATTAACCACCACAGAAAACTCTTCAAGGAAAAATGCCACTCAGTTTCACTGGGCAAGTCTTCAGGTGGAATTGAAGGGCTGATGTTACTTCTGACCCTCTGGAAGGGACCTCCAGATCATATTTACAAGAAGCAAGCAATAAGTACCATAATCAGAGCTAGAGGGGCCCTAGCTCCAGCCAGGTGTGGAAAAAGGACAGTGGAGTCAGTTGGATTGTGTGGATCCATAGCCTGGCACAGCAGAGCCACAGGAGCACAAGGCTTTAGTTGACACAGCTGCACAATGCACCCTGATGCCATCATTCAGGGGGAGAATCCATCTCTGTTTCTGGGATGACAGGGGGATCCCAACAGGGACTATACTGGAAGCTGAAGTGGTCCTGACTGGGCACTAGTGGCAGAAAAATGCCATTGTCGCTGGCCTAGAGGCTTCATGTATCCTTGGCACTGATCACCTCAGAAGAGGTATTTCAAGGACCCAAAAGGACACCATTGGGCTTTGGGAGAGCTGCTGTGGAAACAGAAGAAATTAAGACAGCTGAATCCCTTGCTTGGTCTTTCAGAGGACCCTTCTGCTGTGGGACTGCTGAGGTAGCTGAAGAACAGCAGGTACTGGTGTCCAGCACAACAGTGTCCCATTGGCAACATGGCACCGACTGGGACTTCAGCACCCATGGCACGGACAGGAAAACCAGGGCATTGGGAACAGCCAGGGCTTGGGAAAAGCAGGTACTGCCTGACTCACCTGATCTCCTGCTGTGCCCAGGTGATCCCGGTGGGTGTTGGACATGTGTGGATGTGTCTGCCTGCAGCTCAGCAAAGCCTTTGTCACTGCCTCCATCTCCCTGCCTCTCCTGGAGCACCTGCAGCTCACAGCTGGGACAGGTGTCTCTCTCTGGGAACACCTGACTGATGGCCAGGCCAAGGAGAAGTGGGAATGGGGCCACAGCCAGCTGGGGCTGGGCACTGCTGGGTTCCCAGGGCTCAGTGTTGGGGCCAGTCCTATTCAACATCTGGCCTGGGTGGACAACTAGGGGCAACTGGGAGGCTTGATGGGGTCAAATAAGGAGTGTGGTGGCCCACTGGGAAAACTGGAGGTTAACTGGAGGTCTGGAAGGCAATGCCCTCAAGAGACCCCAAAGCCCACCTGGGCCACCGTGGGTTCAGTAACGAACGCCCTAATCTCCTTCTCCCAATGGATTTCATGGACAGTTGTAATCCTTGACTGACCCCCACTTGGTACTGGGAGGCACAGGGAGCTACTCGGACCATGTTGGGAGACAACTGAAGACACACTGGGAGCAAAGGGAAGATGCTGGAACCATGTTGGGGGTACTGGGACCATAACTGGGGCAACTAGGATCATACAGGAGGGGACAACTGGAACCACGCTGGGTTCATACTGGGAGTGTCTGGAACCACACTGACTGGGGGCAACTGGTATCATACTGGGAGTGACTGGGATCATAGTGGGATCATTCTAGTAGTGACAGGAATTGATTGGGACTGTTGGGGGTGTGACAGGGATCATACCGAGTCGTTGTGATCATGTTGGACTCACACTGGGAGTGACTGGAAAGCACTAAAATCATACTGCAGGGGACTGGAATCATACTGGGATCATTCTGGGAGTAAATGGAACCATGCAGATGACCGAGAGCAACGGGAACCACATGAGAGTGACTGGGATCACAGAGGACGATTACACGACGATTACAGAGTCCGTACTGGCACCGCACGGGGACGGTAACTGACACTACCCGGGCAGCACCGAGGCGCGGGGTGCCTGGGGGTGGGGCCATGCAGAGTTCTGCTAATGAGCCCTCGGCGGGCGGAGTCCGGCGCGGCACCGGGCGGTCGCGCGCCCCGATAGGCGCGCGGAGGGAAGTGACGTCACGAGCGGCGCGGCTGGAGATTTGAACGGCGCGGCGCGGCGCGGCGGATCCCGGCAGCGGCGTGGGGGCCCCGCACACCTGAGCTCACCCTTCCCCAGCCGCTGGGTCCCCTTCTGAACTCGCCCTGACCCTGCGGTGGACTCGGCAACACCATGCCTCGCCCCAAACCCACCCCCCGACGGCGCGGGCGTTCCCCACCCCCCCCATCGCCCCCGCGGCGGGCACGCAGTGAGTGAGGGGCGGGGGACTTCCCTTATAGACACCCCTGATGGACCTCCTACATCGAGCCCCCTTTCAGGCCCCCCTCTAGAGCACTCCTATGGACTCCCTCTATTGTTTTCCTCCGCCCCTAGCCTGTGCCCTATATACCCCTATATGCTTCCACCTCCTAGAGTCACCTCACATTCCCTCTCCCCTATAGCCCCTCTACCCCCATACTCCCTGTCCCCTATAACTCCTCTATGTTGGCCATAACTATAGCTCCCTATAGATCCTTTATACCCACAATGTCCCCCCAGACCTTACAGATCCCTTATAACCCCCACAGCCTTCCCCTGTCTCCCTGGCCCCTATAGATCCCCTATAGCCCCCTGTGTTCTGACAGGCCCTATAGATCTATACCCCCCATGTTCCTTCAGATCCCCCCATCTCTGCCCTCCAGGCTAAATACATCCCCTAAAGCCCCCACAGACCCCTATCCGATGCCCCCACAGGGCGCCGCCCAGGGCAGCGGGCATTGCAGGAGATCCGCACGTACCAGAGAAGCACCCGCCTGCTGCTGCGCCCCGGCCCCTTTGCCCGCCTGGTGAGAACCCCCCACATCGCTAAAATCTCCAGACACCCCGATTTCCCCCCCAGAACCTCCCCAGCACCCCCCATGGACTCCCAAACTCCCCTGGGACCACACAGATCATCTCAGATACCCACAAAATCTACTGTGGGACCCCCAAACCCCTCCAGGACCCCCCCAATTTCACCCCAGAACCTCCAGCATTGTCTGGGATCTTCCAAACCACTCTGGATCCCCTCTCTTGAGATCCCCAAATCCGTCTCAGGACACTCCAGATCAACCCTCTCGACCCTGCAACTTCCCCCAGAGCCTTCAAATCCACCCTGGGACCCTTCAGCTCCCCATTGGACTCTCCCAAATACCCACTGAAACCCTTCAAACAATCCCGAGGACCCCTTCAAATCCAACCCCAAATCCACCCTGGGACTCCTGAAATCCAACCTGGAACCCTCCAACCTTCCCCTGGACCCCACCCCAAAAACCCACTGCGGTTTTCCAACACCCTACAGACCCACCAAGTTACCCCCCAGAACCCCAAATCACCCCCTGGGACTCTTCATGACCATCCCTTTCCCCCAGGGCCCCCCCCTCAACCCTGTTCCATCCCTCCCCATGTCCTTGTCCTCCCCATCCTTGTGACATGGTGAGCCTGTCCTCCCCCAACATCCTTGCATATCCTCCAATGTCATTCTGTGGTTCCAGACATCCTTGTGTCCTGCCACCTTCAGAGGCTGCATGGATTGAGAGTTCCCTGTGCCCCTCCTGCTGTGCTGGCACTGTCCCCCCGTCCCATCGGGGTGTCCCCATGTTCCCATGGCTGAGGGTGTTCCCAAGATGTTCCCAGAGTGGTGCTTCCCCCCTGCCTCCCACCTGGCAGACCCCAGGGTGTCCCCGTGGTGATGTTCCCATGTCCCCACTCCCCAGTGTATTCCCAGGTGCTCCTGTCCCCAGTGTTCCTCTCCCTGGGGTATCCCCAAAGTGTCTCCAGGGTGATAACAAGGGTGTCCCCAGGTCCCTGGGATGTCCCCAGGGCAGTGTCTCCACATCTCGAGGGCATCACCATGGTGGTGGCCCCAGCCCGGGATGTCCCCAATGCCCCCATATCCCCTCCATGTTGTCCCGATGTCCCCGCACTCCCTGTGACCCTGCTGCCCCCATGTGCCCCCCTCACTGTGCCCTCTCTGCCACAGGTGCGGGAGCTCTGCCTCCTCTTCACCCGCGGCGTGGATTACCGCTGGCAGAGCATGGCCCTGCTGGCGCTGCAGGAGGTGCGGCTAGGGGGGCTCAGGCGTGATGGAGGGAGGTCACAGAGGGCTGGAGGGGCCCTACGGGTCCTGCAGGGGTATCCAGGGACTTAGGGGTGTGGGGAAGGGGCTGAGGGGGATCTCATGGGTACTGAGAAAGTTTCCATGGGGGCTGGGGGGCTGTGGGTGCTGCAGGGGGAATCTTTGGGTGCTGGGGGTGTCTCTGGGGGCTGGGGAGGTCCAGGAAGGTCTCTTTGGATGCTTGGATGAGGCTGAGAGGTTTGTTGGGTGTATGTGATGGGAGCTGAGGGGGAGTCTAGGAGGGTCTCCATTGGCTGGGGGTAGGGTCTATGGGTTCTGGGAAAGGGTTCTATGGATGTTGAGAGGGTCTCTGGGTGCTGGGTGGGGCGGGGTCCCTTATTCCCAGGGTCTGTCAGGGACTGAGGATGGGTCATTGGGTCTTGATCCCTCCCTAACACATTTGCAAGCACAAGGTGCTTCAGTCACCCATGGGTGGGTTTGGAGGGACCCTGCCCCCTGGGTGTGTGTTTGGGGGGAGTCTCTGACCCCGGGGGAAGGTGTGGGGGTTGGGGCAGGCTGGGGAGCTTTGGGGACCCTCCCTCAGGTTTTGGTTCACAGGCAGCAGAGGCCTTCATGGTGAGGCTGTTGGAAGACGCATACCTGTGCTCACTGCACGCCCGCCGAGTCACCCTGTTCCCCAAGGATCTGCAGCTGGCCCGGCGCCTGCGAGGGCCCGAAGCGGGGGGCATCTGAATGAGGACCCCCTGGGGAGTCTCTCCTGATAATTTCACACCCATAATCTTACTGGGACCTCCTATGGGACCATCATGCTGAGACCCCCCCTACCCATAGGGTCTCCCAAGCCCCCCCTCGTGGACCCACCCCATAGACTTCCCCACCTCAGGATCCCCAACAACCCCTTCAGGGACCCATCTCCGGGTGGAGGTCCCCTTCCTTAGTCCAGCACCTCTCAGATTATTGAGGACCACTACCCATGATCCCCCTGGGACCCCCATCACCAGCGTGCCAGTCCCAGGGAAGCCTACTCAGGACCTCCACCCTGCTGGAGACCCTCCCAGTTCTGCTGTACCCCAATAAATGTTTGTGACCCCTAGGTGCTGTTGCTGGGGAGTTTGGAAGGGATTTGGAGGTAAGGCACCACAGGGGGTAACTCTGGAGGGCAGGAGAACCCACAGGGAGAGGTCCTCTGAGCATTTTAGGTGAGGGCACCTGGAATGGGGGCCAGGAAGGTCTTGGGGCCCAAGGGGTTCCACGTATAGTGGTGGTGGGGGGTCGTCTAAGGGGTTGGTGCTTAAGGGATTCGCTTTTTGAGCGGAGGTCAAGGCTTTAGGGGCGGCGCTTAGAGGTGGCTTGAACGTGGGTAGGGTTTCCTGTGGGGGGCGGGGCTTAGTACCCCGCGGGGGTGGGGCTCTGGAGGTCTCCCGTCCATGGGCGGAGCTTCAACGGGGTCCCCGCTATGGGGCGGGGCTTGGGGAGGGCCACACTTGGGGGGCGGGGCCACGACGGTTCTGGACGGTCCCCGGCTGCTTTTCCCGCTGCTGCCGCTCGGGGCGCTGCTGAGCGGGGAGGGGCGGGACCTGCAGGGGCGCTGCACCGGCAGCGCCTGTGCCCGCGCCTGAGGGCACGAGAGGGACACCAGAACGGATCCGCCCAACCCCAACCCTGCCCTGGGACCCCAACCCCCCCCTTCCTCATGCCTTGGAGACCCCTCCCGAGCCTCAGAACCCAAAACCTACCCTGGGACCCCAAGTCCCCTTAAAACTGCCCATCGCTGCTATCCTTGGGGTACCCTTTGAGCCCCCCAAACCTCAGGGACCCCAAATATCCCCCCTAAAATCCCAGCCTAGCCCCCACCCACCTGGTTTGGGATACCTCCAGTTTTGGGGTCTCCTCAACCCTCTTTTTTTCCCTAGACAGTCTGGTGCTTTTTTTCCCTAGACAGTTTGGTGGGGAATATTTTTGTTACTGAACTTTCAAAGAAAGTTAACAATGCAAATTGTGGACAGGACAGAAAATTGCTTTGACATCTCTAAGGACCCTATAAGCAGCAGTACATCTGATAATGAAGAAATCACATTACAACCCCAAATTAATGATGAAACCTTCTATGATAGTCAGGGTCTGCACACTGTTACTAAAACAGTGTGGTACGCAGCAGGCAAGCAAAGTTCCAGGAAAAGTATAGCACACTTACATAGTAATCGGAAACTGGCTATGTTTGGAGAGTGCCTCTGGAAGAGGGTAATTAAATAATTTGTCTGAAGTGGAGGCCCAAGGCTTCTGGAGGCCAGAAGTGTTTTTAATGGTGAGTGACTAGAGAAAACTGTGTTTTTTAACTCGGAATGCCGCCTATTGAGCAGGAGGTTGCATCCATTAGAGAGGAGTGATTTGCTTAGGATTGAGACCCCAACCATAGATCATGGGACAGAGAGTGTACAGAAGGCAGTGTTTTTGCAACTGATGAATGACAGATGTTCCAGGACAGCCCTCACCCACATCACTGGTTAACCAAGTATGTGGCTGCCATGGTTAGAGTTTTGCTGAACGTGATAAAACACTGCGGCAGAATTTCAGGATCACTTGAAGCAAGTGTTAATCCCACAGAGAGCAAGACAAGGGAAAAGACCCTTACCGTGGGGAAAGAGATCTTCAGGGCTAATTAGCTATGGCAGAAGGATTAGTTTCACTTAACAATTAGTAAACAGAACAGGAGTAGAACAATTAGTAAACAATCAGGAGATTGGAATTGCACCAAGGAAGCAGACTGCCCAAAAGGGGGCAGCAGGGTCCCAGTGCATGATGGAATGCAGTTTGAGTGAAAGGCTTGCAGAAAGGAATTTCTCAGGAAGTGATAAATTATCCACTGCTGTTCTGGAGAATGTAGTACTTGGGGAAAAGGAAAGTTGCACTCTTTTGCCACAAGCAGGATAAAGATGTTGATGTGGGTGTTGGAACTCCTGAGAGACCTATCATTACTATGGCCTCACAGGCTAATGTTGTTAATTGGAGTCATAGAAACAACTTTTGGCATCCTCAGTGAGCTGGGGGCTGGCAGCTGCAGACATTTAAGGAAGCTCACCAAAAGTAAGACTTACACAGAAAATGAGGTATCAAAGTTACCACTGGCTTCTGAGATGGAGACAGGAGAAAAGCTGAGAATCCAAGTGGATAAACTTATGACTGAGAAAGACCATCTTAAGACTCTACTTGCTTCAGCAGAGTGTAAGGAAAGACAATTATTTTAGAATTTGAATAGGGAAATTATAGAAGAAAGAAACAAGACCTGAGAGAGGAAACCTTATTTATCCCTGTTACTAAGAAATGAACAATTGCAGAAACAGTTCCAGGAAGAAAAGGAGAAGAGATGAAAACCAAAAGAAACAGCAAAGGTGATGCTTAAACAAGCTACGAATTTATCCTGTATTGTGCAGAGTCCATTCAGATGGCTGATTTACAGAAGCATTCCACGCACAAGCCAAGTGAAACTGAAATGCAACAAGTGGAACACTATCAATACGTACTAATGACCCACACATCCAGATTCCAGTTGGTTCTTGTCAATGATTAATTACATTTCTAATAGATATAGGAACACAGCATTCAGTAGTAATGAAGCAGGACGCCAAGAAGTTGGGTGTATGACCCAGACGCTAAGAGTTAACATCACTTTAGTAAATGGAGCACATGTTATCTGTCAAGCTGCTACGGTTAATTTATGGGTCCTGGATGAGAAGTGGATATTGGCTACTTGCTTTGCAATCAAAGATCACAATGACAATATTTAGGGTTTTGATATTCTGAACATTTAAGTCTGCTGTCTGCCTGATGTCAGTGAGTCAATGTTAATGTCTGCACATTAGCCCAAACCCTAAAAGGAGTCCAGAGACTGTGCTGACTCCACATGGCACCTGCACTCCCTGATCCAAAGACTGCTAGTGTGTCCCCGTGCTGGATTTTTGTAGCAGGGAGAAGTGGAATTTCTGAAGTTCTGGCCAATGTGGCCCCACTAAGAGTTGAATACCCAATTACTGCAAACCTAACAGCCACAATACAAGCACCCGTGTGCTTGGGCATTGATGAGGTGGTGACAGATTAAAAGGAAAAAGGTACAATCACTCAGTCACACTCCTATCTCTCCTGTCAGAGACAGTGGCCAGTGATCATTTTAACACTCCAGCCACATAGAACATGCCAGTGTTTAGCCAATGTTCGCTGTTGGCATTGCCATTATGTCACCGATCACAGAATATTCTGAGTTGAAAGGGACCCACAAAGATCATCAAGTCCAGCTGTTAAATGAATGGGCCATACACAGATTGAACCAACAACTGTGGTTCAGCACCATGCTCAGACCAACTGAGCCGCTCTTAGGGTCTGACTCATGAAAGAGCTGAACATACAGTTGTGGCTTATGATTTATAACAGGCAGTTGAACACCAGTACCACATCTACAATCACTGCTGTACTAAACTTTGGGGAACTCATAGCTCAAATTAGGAGAGCATGCTACCCAGGGAGGACAACTCAAATTGCAGGAGATCCCCCTGAAAACACAGGAAGCAGCAACAGCAGTGGACAAGCACTTCATAAAGTTGAAGTTGAGATACCTCCTGAAGAATGTCAAGGCCTAACACCATGAAAGACCAAAGAAATATTCACTATTCAACTCAACCACATTTAAAGAGATGGAACAGAGAGATTCTGAGTGGGAAAAAGGAAAATTGTCATTAACAACTTGAGCCACTAAGGGGTAACCTGTTCAGGCTAATGCTGCTGAGACCCATACTGTTTTTTCTATCCAGGAATGATATCAGTAATGATTCCAGCACATCCCCACTGAGGATCAAGTTAACCATTGGAGGACAGCTTATCCTTATTGCAGGAGTAATCACTGCCAGCAAGAAGCAAATTTGGTTCACATATGAACAAGTTCAACCCACAGGGCAGAGTCACTTCTTTTATTTAAGATAATAAGTATGGTAACTTAGGACATGCATTCTACATCACACATGCTTTTCAGTTGTAAGTGCAATTAATTGAATATGACCAGGGATTTTACCCATTACCCAAGTTAGATAATACTTCCAATGTCCAAGGATTTCTCCCACCAAAAAGGTGCCATGATAGAGAGGTCTTGGCTGGCCTTTACCTCCCCTGTGCAGCCTCTCATCAGCACCGCAAACACTGGGGCTACATGCTTTCCTTCCTACAGAAGAGAACTCTCATTCTCATCCAGAAGCCCATCATTAAAATGTGGATACCACCTCTGATATTATATATGCCCAAAGATGACTCTCATACAAAAGCTGCCAGATCAGAAAGCTTTTGCTGATCATTACCCTGCTAGGGCAGCCTGCAACTTGCACCTAAACCACTGGGGCTATGTGCTTTCCTTCCCATGGTAAAGCATAATGACTGAACCTTCCAATCACATAAGTCACACTTCTTCTAATACCCTTCCCCAACTCCTGTGGCCTCCCTGCCCCTCTCTCACTTTCCCCTTTTCCTTTCCATTGTCCTACTACCCCTTTTTTATGTTCCCACAAATTCCTACCTCCTTTCCCCCCCTTCCATGGCCTCCCTCCACTAATTCCACTAATCCCTTTCCCCAGAGTTCCTTCATAATACCAGAGGGAGCGAGATTGGGAGGGAAAGAAAATAATGTTTCCCTAAAGCAACCATCTTTTTCTTAAAAGTTAATAATTTCTATTTTGGAATTTCCAACAGGCACA